CATACAGAAGTCACCGTTATAACAGAGGGAACATCGGAAAGATAGTTTCAACCCCAGATAGTGAAAAAGACTATTGGAACCCGGACCGCGTTCGTCTTCGATATTAACGCACTACGAGTCAAGCCAAGGACGCAGTACTGAAATACACCTAAGTAGAAACACAACGGAAAGAATTACTAACGCTCCGGTCTGAGGTGTTTTTAGACGGGGTCAACGGATTGGCCGTATTCATCCCTATGATCATGCCAGATGAACGGCTACAAATAAAAAGCATCCCTACCGAACACAAAGGATCCGCCTAATGTCTGGGGTGTATTCGACATTCAAAAGTTCTATTTTCTTTCAGAATCCCAGAAGAGTGGACCTGTGTCCGACTTAAATCTTAGGAAGCAATAACCTTTGAAAGCGCTATCTTATACCAACATCTGCAGCCGCGACACAACAAACGCCAATGCTAAGCTGTGATGGAAATTACGAGGAAAAATAATAACCTTTTTGTGATGCGATGACTTCTTCTCTTTGCGCTTTTCCTTCGAATGTTTTTTCTTCTTCTTTTTCTCTTCTTTTCTCATCTTCTTTTCCAACTTTTTTCGATGAGCATCCAACAGACTCTGGTCACGTTTGTACGTCTTCTACAACAACAAAATGAAGAAGGACCTGGTAGGCGTAGCTGATCTGAAACAAACCTTACCACCCTCCCGGCAGAAAATAAATAAAAACTTCACCACTTTACGTTATAGGCCTCTCGAATCGCAGACATTTCCTGGTCCCTGGCGGAGATGGCCTCGTCTAACGCTGCGGTCAGTTTGCTCGTGGGCGGCTAAAAGCATACAGCCAGACGGCGAAGGTTGAGACTCATACACAGATGCATATTTAAGTTCATTAAATGCATACAACACAGACATTTCTGTAAAAAAAGACATGCTATAACAGCCGTGGTAGGAGGATTCAGTTAAATTTATACTGGCTTACGGGGGCAGTCGGGGCTGCTGGGTCATCGGAGGGGGATGCAAACCACGAAACGTCCACGCCTTCTGTGCCGGGATTTCTGCAAAATTTGCGTGCTCTCGTCATCTTTTTATCAGTCACCGGAAGGTATTCCGTCATCCAGGCTTCACGTTGAAGTCCCTGTGGCTGGTCAGTAGGTTTGTTCTGACTAGTGTCAACAGACGTCTGAAACCGAGGACGAAGTACAGAGGTCACCAATGATCTAATTTTAAACAGAACATTGAAGATATTTTAATGCTTTTTAAAAAAGGGCCCATCGCTAGGCCGGATAACACACCGTCTGCATGTGCCGCACTTCTTCGATGATCTCGCTGCCGGGCAAAAGAGGGCCGATCTCGAACGGATCGATTTTGATCCCGCCGGCCTCGGCTTCCTGATCCTCCTCTGCACCCTTCGCCAACTGCGCGCGTACCAAGTGCT